GTCTGTTTCATCAGCCCAGCTGACTGGTTTGGGGACATAGGTGCTTCCTCCACCGGTGCCCCCATCCTCAGCTAGAAAGTCTGTTAGGGAGATGGTCTTCCCCTTCTTATTCTTCTTTTTTGCTGAAAAGAGAAAGATTATATATTCACCGACAGTCAAGTATTTAGACTTTGTTTTTGGCTTTCAAGACAGGATTTCGCTGTGTGCCCTTGGCTGTCCTGAAACTTGCTCCAACTCACTGAGATCTGCCTATCTCTGTCTCCCAAGTGCTAGGACTTAAGGCATACATAGACACCACTGTCCCGCAAATATTTAGACTTTTATCTTGCACCATTAAAGACATTCTAAGAAATCAACAAAGACTGGTCAGATGACTGGATTATGAAACTGACATGAAACGCTATGTAGATATAAGAAAAAGACCTCAAGGGGGCTGGAGAGATGGCTCAGAGGTTAAGAACACTGCTTGTTCTTCCAGAGGTCCTGAGTTCAATTCCCAGCAGCCACATGGTGGCTCACAACCATCTGTAATGAGATCTGGTGTCCTCTTCTGGCTTGCAGGGATATGTGCAGACAGAACACTGTATACATAATAAATAAATAAATCTTTAAAAAAAAAAAAAAAAGTGTAACTCGATATATTTAAAAAAAAAAAAAAGACCTCAAGGGAGAGGCACTATTAGGTGTGGCCTTGTACAAAGTGTGTCACTGTCGGGGTGGGCTGAGGTCTCTTTTCTCAAGCTTCACTCAGTGTGACAGTCAGTGACTTCCTGTGGCCCACAAGATATGACACTCTCAGCTTCAGCTCCACATCTGCCCGCATGCTGCCATGCTCCCCTTCTCAGTGATGGACTGAACCTCTGAAAACGCACAGCTAGTACGAAGTCCTGGCTTTGGTCCTTAACACCATATAAACTGGGTGTGGCAGGATACACTCAAAATCAGGAAGATCACAAGTTAAAGGCTATCCTCAGCTACACAGTGAGTCTGAAGCTAGCCTGGGACACATGAGACCCTGTCCCACAAAACCAATGTAACAGAGATAGATAAATGCTTATGTATATAAGCATATTTAGGTACAGAGAGGGAAATAAGGTATAGATGTTTTCTACTCTACTGTTCACTCACCTAGGGCCTAACACACAAGTAAGGCAAAGGGGTGGGGTGGGAGCGCCAAACCAACAAAATCCCACGTGGCTGGTTGGCACTGGCCTGTAACTGTAGCATCATGGAGGCTGAAGCAGGATGATTACAAGTTTGAGGCCAGCCTTGGTAAACAGTGACTGTTCCCCCTCCTCCAAAAGTTAAGCAACTCTGTTGTATCAACTCTCAGCTTCATAGTTGTTTTTTGAGACAGGCTCTCACTATGCAGCCCAGGCTGGTTGAGATTTACCTACCCCTGGCTTCTAAGTGCTGGGTTAAAGGGATATGCCACCATGCCCAGCAGCCTCATGGTTTTTTAGCAATCATGAGTTCTTCCATCTTCCAATTCTCACCTAATTTTCAACTCAAGAGGAATGATTTAAATGCTCAAACCAAATGAACATGCCACAAAAACAGAGAAGATGGCTATAAATTAGTAGTTTCTTAAGCGACTTAACACTACCATGGCTCTACAATGGACAGCTAGACCACGTAAGTGATTCTCAGTGCCTTCTGTTCCTAAGACTAGAGTGCCAGGCCTGGCCACAAACTGAGCTACAGTCGGGAACTTTCCTACTGTTTGAAAATAGTTAAGCAGAGGGTTCTAAAGCACTCACATCACTCCAATTCATATGCAGACACCTTTAAGTTTGCCATATGCTCCCTCATTGAGACAAGGTTGGTCACTAACTGCCCCCATGTAGCCAACTCCTCCCTCAGTGCTGTGACATGGGAATGCACCACACCAGGTTGATTGGTGACTGAACTCAGGAGCTTTGTGCATGCTAGGCCATAACTAACAAACGATAAGATCACCTGAATGTGATATAAGACAGAACACTTTAGATTTATGCCTGTAGAAGCTAGTACAAAGTCTTGGGTCCCCTGAACCCAGAGTCACAGATGATAGAGAGCCACTATGTAGGAGCTGGGAATTGAACACGGGTCCTCTGTAAGTACTCCTAATCACTCTGTCATCTCTAACCACATTATTTTAGTCCTGATTTTATACTTTTTAATTAAAAAAAAAAAACAAAAAAAAAAAACCCTGGGGTTAGAATGATGCCCGTCAGAGATTCTGATCCTCATTTGGCTACTATCATTAGCTAATATCTATTCATTAGTCTATTTTGGCCACTCGGAGTAAACACTGGTGGTAAAAAGATTTTAAGGCTGGGTGTGGTTGCACATATCTTTTTATTTCCAGCACCCAGGACGTAGAGGCAGAAAGCTCCGAGTTCGAGGCCGGCTTGGCCTACAAAGCTCCAGGACAGACAGAACTACACAAAGATAGACTCTGTCTCAAAATACAAAGGCAGGCTGATTTTTTTTTTTTTTTTTTTTAATTTTTCGAGACAGGGTTTGTCTGTGTAGCTTTGCGCCTTTCCTGGAACTCACTTGGTAGCCCAGGCCGGCCTGAACTCACAGAGATCCCCTGGCTCTGCCTCCCGAGTGCTGGGATTAAAGGCGTGCGCCACCACCGCCCGGCCAGGCTGATTTTTTTGAGTTCAATGCCAGACTGGTTTGAGTGCCAGATCAGCCAAGGTTACACAGAGAAACCCTGCCTTGAAAAACCAATAATATAAAGCCTTTGACACAACAATTTAACTGGTCCAGTTCTTTCATCTCCCTTCTATCTTTTTTCCCCCAACCCCAAATCTTGCATGAATTAGTTAACAAATCAATCAATTCACAAAGCAAACTTCTTCTAATTTCTAAAGCTAAGCCCAATCCAAGGAGAGGGATTATACATCTGAAGCTCTTTACCTACCTGGTAAAGTTAAATGTAAGAATTTAAAATCATCTCCCAAATTAGTTTTAAAGCACAGAAGACCTTATTAGAGACAATATACTGGGGGAGGGGCTAGTGGTTCAGGCTGACCTGGAATTTAACTTCTGGTTCAACTTTCCAGGTACAAGACAGGTGTGCATTATACTCTGTTGTATCTTGCTTTATTGTGAAGTACTGTGGATTGAATCTAGAGCTTTACACATGCTAGGTAAGCACTCTACTGCTGCCAGCACCTACTGTGGTCCAATAGGTTCTCACAAAAAATAAATAAATAAAAAAAAAAAAAAATACAACAGAACATATGGAGCTCAGGAAATAGTTCAGAGGTTAAGGTACTGGCTGTCCTTCCAGAGAACCCTGGTTTGATTCCCAGTACCTAGATAGAAGCTAACAGCAGTCAATAACTCAGCTCCAAGTCATCTGATGCCTCCTTCTGGCCTCCCCAGGAACTGTAGGCACATGTAAGATAAACAGAAAAACACCCATACACATAAAATAAATCTTGGCTTCATCCCAGCACCCGGGAGGCAGAGTTCCGAGGCCAGCATGGTCTACAAAGTGAGTTCCAGGATGGCCAGAGCTGTTACATAGAGAAATCCTGTGCAAACAAATAAATAAATAAATAGATAGATAAATAAAATGAACAAGAACCAAACCAACAAAATAACCCAAATAAATAAATGTTGAAAAACAAACAAACAAAAACACAAAACAAAACAAACACATTCAATTGTGTCTGAAATTGGGGAGGCCTGGGGGATCAGCTCAATTCTTCAATCAGGATCTTTCAACTTTCCTCCCCCCCCCCAGCCCTTTGAGGCAGGCAGGCTCTCACTGCGTAGTCCTGGCGGTCCTGGAATGCACAGCAATCCTGCCCCTCCCTGCCTCCCAAGCACTGAGATGACAGGCGTTTGCTACTCAACAGTTCACACTTTGTTCTCTGGCTTCATGCATTCTAGACCAGCACTCACCGCTGAGCTCTACCTATCGCTAGTCTGAGAAACACTGCTCAGGTGACATTTTCACTTCAAAAATAAAAGGCTCAGGAGAAGCAGAGGCAGGAAGGCTGCTGAAGGCCAGACTGAGCCACAGAGAGAACCCACCCCAGGGTGTGTGTGTGTAAAAAGTAAATCCTAAAACTTGGGAGGCTCAGGCAGTATCAATTACCAGACTGAGCTACATGGCTGAACACCTCCTGCCCCAACCCCAAGTATATGCAACTAAGATTATTTGTATGTAGCAACCTTCTGCCCCTTTTTTTGTGGGGTGGGGTAGGAGAGACAGAGGCTCACTATGCAGCCCTTCGCTGGCCTGAAATTCATGAAAATCTGCCTGCCTCTGCCTTCCAAATGCTAGATGCTAGACTTAAAGGCAAGCCTTAAAACATACAAATAGTTCCCTTGTGAATTACATCTTAAAGCTATTATCAAAATGAACACACATACCTTTTCAATACGAAACACTTTTCCTTCAATTGACAATACTCACAATTAGACTTTATTAGTGTTTTTAATCTTGGCCATCTAAATCTAAGTATCCTTGCAATGCAACAAATACTCTGTAAAGGATGGGATTTGCAAAGGTAATTTGTATACAATGTAACTACAGCCTTTGAAACAGTTTAACTATAAAGATCAGCACTTTATAAAAGCAACCATTTAACACCATTTTCTCACTATAAACCCAAAGAAGTACCTCACAGCACAATGAGTCCTAAGCACACCTTACATACACTAGCTACAATTTTAATGTAATATATCAAATTATAACATCAAACTCATGATTCCTATTGCCAAGAGATCTGCGGATAAACTATGTCCATTTATAAATGAAGAAACTCACACTAGGTAAAGAGGCAGCCCACTTTAACAACTCAAATAGCCACAATAAAAAAAAAACAAAAACAAAAAAAAAACACCTTTTCTCTGAGGCAGAATCTCATTGTATTCAGGCTAGTCTGGAACTCATGGCAATCCTCCAGTCTCAACCTCCTGAGTGCTGGGATGACAAAGGTAAGCCACCATATTCAGCTAAAATCTCATAGATTGAAGTTTTTTTTTTTTTTTTTAAATTAAATTCCCACTTTGGCTCAAGTTTCCTAGAAACTTAAAACAGTCTCTTTTGTCAGTCAGCTCTGAGACACTAATATACTGAAGGTCAGCAAGGGGTCACATGGAAACTGGTATTACCTCAATAACTTTTTTTTTTTTTTTTTATACAGAGACAGGGTTTCTCTGTGTAGCTTTGCACCTTTCCTGGAACTTGCTTTGGAGACCAGGCTGGCCTTGAACTCACAGAGATCCGCCTGCCTCTGCCTCCCAGTGCTGGAATTAAAGGCATGCACCACCACTGCCCAGTACTTCAGAAACTTTTGGTCTTACCGAAGTGATTAAGTTGTATCTGTTATTTTCAGAGAACTCAAGACCCATTTCCAGCTCTGGGTATACTGGCCACTCTAAGTTGGTATAACTGGAAGAAATGTGGTCAATTCCAAAATCTTGAAAGGCCAAGTAAGAGGTAAATTTGTGCTGAGCCAACAAATCAAGCTATATTTCCTGAGCTGAATTTAAAGAGGGGGTCTTCCTGAGAGGGTAACATAGATATGGAAGAAAGGGGGCAGAGATATTACTAGGCAAACCTTTTGAGTTCGAATCACAGGCGAATAAAATGAAAGCTTACTGTGATGTCTTCTTCTAACTTCTGACTTGTTTGATAGCGCACAGGTCAGAGGACAACTTGCAGGAGTCTGCTCTCGCCTCCACCATGTGGATTCTGGGAACTAAACTCAACCTGTCAGCCTTGGCAGCAAGTGCCCCTAGCCTGAGCCATATCCTCAGTTCAGCTATGTCGTCCACAACCAAAAATTTCCTAAAAGGGAAATCCATCTAGACTTTTCACCCAGATAAGACACTAAACTGACAAGGCAGTAAATCTAGGCCAATGAGTATTTTTCACCGATTAAAACAGTTTTGTAAGTTTTAGATGATTTTTTTTCCGATAGCAACTTCAGCTTAGTGTGGCATTTTAGTACTTCTCATCTTAATGAGCCCAAGAGCCTGGAGTCTCCAGGATTTTGACCCTGCTCTGCTACCTGCAAGCAATATGGCCTTAAACAAATCTTTAAGCAATTTCTCTTCAGCTGTGAGAAACCACCAGTTCTTTACATTATCTCACAGGCTTCTTCAATTAAGTGCTATACTAACAAAAGCTGTTATATCCGGGATTGGGGATATAGCTTACTTAGTGTTGAGAGTGCTTGCCTAAACAGGTGGTGGCACACACCTTTTATCCCAGCGTTTGAGGCAGAGGCAAGGGGATCCAACCAGGACTATGCAGAGAAATCCTATCTCCAAAAACCAAAATTAAAAAAAAAAAAAAGGGGGTGGTGGTGGAGGTGGGCACTTGCTCACCATGTCTAAGTTCCCTTGTAAGAATAGAAAAGATGGGATTTCTTTTCTTTTTCAAGACAGGGTTTCTCTGTGTATGTAGCTTTTGGAGCCTATCCTGGAACTCACTCTGTAGACTATACTGGCCTTGAACTCACAGAGATCCACCTGCCTCTGCCTCCCAAGTACTAGTATTAAAGGCTTGGCACCACCACCGACCAGCGAAGATGGGATTTCTGATAAATTACCTGGTACGGTGTCACTTTTAATCCCAGAATTTGAGAGGCAGAGGCAGGCAGATCTAAGTTGGAGGCTAGCCTGTCCTATGAAGCAATCCAGGACAGCCAAGGCTACAAAGAGAAAACCCAGTCCTGAAAGGGGAAGGAAAAAAAAAAGGCTTTGAGTGTTGCCTTTAATCCTAGCACTCTGGAGGAAGTGGATCTCTGTGAGTTCAAGGCCAGCCAGGTCTACTTAGTTCCAGGACAGTCACAACTAATTAATAGAGACTAAGTAATAGAGATATAGACCCTTTCTCAAAGTTTAGAGGCAGCAATCCACAAAGTATTTTTTATAGACTAGAGGGTCATGCTAGAGAAAATAAGCTGTACTTCCCAAACTAAAGCTAGGTGTTTAAAAGCCACACTGACATTCTTACAGGTCCATTGCAAATGCAAAAACCAAACCAAACCACTTGCAATGCAGTGACATATACACCCCACTTAAAAAAGAATAATAGCTAGAAAACCACAGAACCTCTAGCCATTATTTTAATAGCACCTTTTGGAAGTTTCCCAATTATCTAGGAAAATGACAAAAGCAAGCCGAATCCTGACACTCGAACCTACCAAAAAGCCAACCAATGGAAGCTGATCTTGTTCCCCACCCGTGCCCGGCATAGTCTGCACTGAGTAAATACTGTTGAATTAGAGTTGGAAAGAAAACAGCACAGGAGAGAGGTGTCCGTCCCTACAGCTCCTCCCTAACACGTGGGCGCACACTAGGCTCCCTACCCCCCAACTATAGTAGCACCAGCAGCCTCCAAACCTAACATGCGTTCTCTTGGAGTACGGAGGCCGGGGTCACACTCCGAAACCAGCCAGAGCACAAGGTACAAGGTCACAAACGAGCCAAGCCCGGGCCCAGCAAGGCTTCCCATCTGGACTCCGGCGCATGCTTCTTCCGAGGCGCGCCTTCTCCACCTCGCCCCGGCTCCCTGGTCGCGCAAGCGCACCCGCACCGCGGCTTCTCCTCCGCCCCTCCACCGACTCGCGCTCCAACTGCTCCCCCCGCACCACCGCCACCACCCCCCGCACCCCCTTCCCCCCCCACTAGGGTCCGCAACGGCCTCGCGCCTCGGGGAGGACCGGGTCGCGTGCGCTCCGGTCCGCGCGCCAACCGCCTCCTTCCGTCCTCCGGCGCGGCGCGGCGCGGGCGCAGTGCCTCCCCGTCTGGGAGAGCGGAGGGGGGAACCTCGCGCCTCCCGCACACCTCCCCGCGCTACCCGCTCCGGGGGGAAGCCGGGGTCCACCATTACGGCCCCCACTCCAACCTCGCGCAACGGGGCGGACAGGGCGTGAGGGGGAGGGGAGGGCCGGCCTTCCCCTCCCCCTAGGCATCCCGGGGCAGGAACCCGAGAGCGGCCGTGCCACGCCAGCCGGCCGCAGCTCCCCAGGCCCGAGGGGTGCCGGGGCCACCTGCCCCCCGGCCCCCAGCACGGCGCGGACCAAGCCCGGAGGCTGTTTCGGAGCCTGGTCCCTGGCCACGCTCGGCCGCTCACTCACCTGAGGCCGCCATGTTGGGAGAGGGAGAGAGAACGCAAAGGACCCGGATGAGGCAATCACGTGATTATAGCGGGCGCGACGGGGCTTGGAGACGCGAAGCCAGGAGGGGGCGGGGAAGTGAGGACGGAAGGCAGGAGGCGGGGCGCAGCCGCCGCCGCAGCCGCCGCGCTGGGTTCGTAAAGCAGCGCGAGGAGGCGGCGCGGCGTCCGGCCGGAAGACCTGCGCGACATGTGGCCGGAGGGGTGGAGTCGGAGCTGTCGCGAAGCCCTGCGCTTTACGTCGGGCCCGGCGCGGCCGTCGGGTCGCATGGGCGGCGGGGCGGGGTCTCCTGGCGCGCAGACTTCTGGGTGGTGGGTCCCCCCGCGAAGGGCGGGGCCGCGCTCGCTGGTTCCATGGAACCGAGTGGGCTTGGAATCTCGAATGGGGGTGCCACCATTGTTATTCTAGAGAAGGTTCTGAGTGGGGTTGACATGGTGTGTACCCCGGTGCACTCAGCTGGGCTCGGAGGAGCAGGGCGAGCCACGGCCAACCTCGCCTCGACAGCTCCGCCTCCGAGCCCGAGTCCTCACTCACCCCAATGGATCTCAGCTGAACTGTTGCTAAAAGCGTAAAGCTTTAAAAGCCTGTAGTCCCTGGTCCTCACGCCTTGTATGCCTTTCTGCTTCCTGCCATCACTCCCTGGGATTAAAAGTGTGTGCCACCACGCCTGGCGCTGTTTCCAGTGTGGCCTTGAACTCACAGAGATCCGCATGGGTCTCTGCCTCTGGAATGCAAGGATTCCGGGTGTGTGCCACCACTTTGTGGCTGGCCTCTGTGTAATCTACTGGCTGTTCTGTTCTCTGACCCCAGATAAGTTTTATTAGGGTGCACAATATATCACCACATCTGAGTTTTGGGTTTTGTTGTTGTTTGTTTTTGGGTTTTTGAGACAGGGTTTCTCTAGGTAGCTTTGGAGCCTTTCCTGGAACTCACTCTGTAGCCCAGGCTGGCCTCGAACTCACAGAGACCGCCTGGCTCTGCCTCACAAGTGCTGAGATTAAAGGCGTGCGCCACCACTGCCCGGCTCTGAGTTTCTTTTTAAGTCACTTTTTGTAAAGGCAAAGCAAACCCAACTTTCTGTACATGGTTTCAATTAAACGTGCTTAGAAGAAAAAAGAGGTAACGTGAACGTGTTACGGCCATGGACTTTAACTCCTCATATAACCCTCCAATTTACCGACAAGGTCCAGCGCCAAGTGCTAACCACATTTTTCAAGCCAATGCTCCGTTTTCACTATACATCAGTAAGTAAAACCGCTGAGAACCAACCATGTGTCAGGCAGTGCTTAACAGATTTGTTGATAGAACAGAACAAAACTGTCTTGAATAAAGTATCACAAATGATGAACACTACAGGTAAGTAAGAGAAGAAGAGTAAAAGGTGGGTGGGTGCAGCTCTAGATGTCCTGCTTAGGGAAGGTCTCTGAGGAAGTGATGTTTGGCATGAGCACGGTGGAGCCAAGGCAGGAGGGTTGCTGAGAGCTGAGGCCTTTCTGAACTACATAATGGGTACCAGGTCAGTCTGGAATACGGAGTGAATCCTTCCATGCTATTAACAAACGGGAGCCGGGGAGCTCAGTCAGAGGTCTTGCTGCTCAAGCATAAATAAGGGCCTTAGTCCTGTCCCTTGTAGCCACATGTTTTGTTTTTTAGAAGAGGTGATCCATGGCTGGAGGAGGGTTAGCCTGTAACTCGAGCATTGTGGAAGGCAGAGACAGTGGAGTTGCAGGACTTACTGGCCAGGTGCCTAACGCCAGGTTCAGTGAGAGATTGTTTTAAGGAGGTGAGACAGGATACCCGGCATAGTCTTCTGGACTGCCCGGGTGGGCATCACCGGCACCTACATGGATGGGCGGGCACCCGCACAGGTATGCCTCCCACAAAACAAAACAGAAACAAAAGGGCTGTGGGCCCCAGGAATGGCTTCATAATACCTTTAGAAAACAGGATACAAAGGGCTGAAGGTGTGGCTTAGTGTTAGAACACGGCCTAAAATGCAAGGAGCTCTGGGTTCAGTCTTTAGGACTACAGCAACAGCAGATTGCACACTTCAGATCGGTGCTTTTTATTTAAGCCACACTTTAATAAGATTACTCGGGACCAGTGAAATGGCTCAGCCGGTAAAGGTGCTCAGCTCCAGGCCTGATGACCTGAGCTCATCCCCGGAGCCCACATGGAGGGAGAGCGCTGACTCCTGTAAGCTGTCTTTGGACCTCCAGAAGTGTCCTGTGGTACAGGCGTGCCTACGCTCACACACGTCTCTCCCCACAGCACACGCAGGTTACACCGACTATTGGGTAGGAAGGAGAGTGAACTATACATGTACAATAACGGTAAAGGTCAATTAAAAGGTCACTGCCAAGGCTACGTAATGACTCACGGTGAGCTCTAGATACTTTTGCCTAGACTACAAAAACTCAATTTAAAAACTCCCAAGTTTTCATTATTAGTGCGTGGGTGAGGCAGAGCAAACTTGTAGGGCTACACAGACTCAGCTTCTCAGACTTCCTTTATTCTGTGCTTACAGATCACCTGGGAGATTTGTTGGAAATCACCCTGACTAGTAGGACTGGAGTGATACTTGAGATCCTTTTTTTTTTCTTTTTTTTCTGTTGTGGACCAATAAAATGTAATGATCCTAGAGTTAAGGTGACCATTGAAATTAATTCCAGCACTTGGGAGGCAGAGGCAGGGGGATCACTGAGTTTGGAGGTTAGCCTGGTCTACAGAGCTAGTTCTAGGTTAGCCAGAGTTGCACAGAGATACCGTGTTGGGGGAGGAACCCTCCCCCAAACCAAACCAAACCAAACAAAAGAAAACAACAAAATGACTTAAATTGAATTGAGAGTTAAGTTGTCCATTGGAGGCAGTGAATTTCAGAAAGTTCAGAGAAACACCAAATAAGAAATGAGTGGGGCAGGGAGATGTGCAGTTAGTGAGCGCCTATCATCTCCCAGTGTTAGGCCACTTAACATAGCTTATTGAGTACTAACAGTGGTCCTACAACGTTGATTATTAGTGACCTCATTGTTCATTTATGACCCTAAACTCAGAAACAGTAATACTTCACTCAAGCACACAACCAGCAAAGCAGCAGGGCCTCTCCTGGTCAGGTCAGGGTTCTTTACAAGTTTTCACAGACCTTTTATTTTATTTTATTTTTTTGTTTTTTCGAGACAGGGTTTCTCTGTGTAGCTTTGCGCCTGTCTTGGAACTCACTCTGTAGCCCAGGCTGGCCTTGAACTCACAGAGATTCTCTTGCCTCTGCCTCCTGAGTGCTGGGATTAAAGGTGTGGAAATCACGTGGGCTACCACACCTGGCTGAATTTGTGGTCCTCTAATCTAGCATCCCAAGTAGTCAACTTTTCTTTCTTTTTTCTTCTAAGACTGGCTTTGACCTCCTGATTTGCCTGCCTCTACCTCCTATCTGCTAGTGCTGGAATCCTGGGATTGCAGGCATGTGTCATCATGCTAGAAAAAGAAGACTGTTTACTTGTTTATTATGTGTGTGGGGGAGTGCTCCTGCTATCGCACACCTGTGGAAGACATGACAACCTGTGTGAGAGCCGGGGACGGAGCTCAGACCATTGGTGGGAGAGCCAGGACAGAGCTCAGACCATTGGTGGGAGAGCCAGGACAGAGCTCAGACCATTGCTGGGAGAGCCAGGACGGACCTCAGACCATTGCTGGGAGAGCCAGGGACGGAGCTCAGACTATTGCTGGCAGAGCCAGGGACAGAGCTCAGATCATTGCTGTGAGAGCCGGGAACGGAGCTCAGACCATTGCTGTGAGAGCCGGGACAGAACTCAGACCATTGCTGGGAGAGCCGGGACGGAGCTCAGACCATTGCTGGGAGAGCCAGGACGGAGCTCAGACCATTGCTGGGAGAGCCAGGACGGAGCTCAGACCAAGAGCCAGGACGGAGCTCAGACCATTGCTGGGAGAGCCAGGATGGAGCTCAGACCATTGGTGGCACCTTTCTCCTCAGAGCCATCTCGCTGCCCAGATCTTCCTTTCTCTCTGTCTTCCAAGATTTTCCTTTCTTTTTCTTTCAAGTTTTCTTTAAATGTGCTTGGATGTGTGCATGTATGTATGTACCACATGTGTGTCTTGTGACCGAGTAGGCCAGAAGAGGGTGCAGGATTCCCCCAACCCCAAACTGTTGTTACAGGCAACTTTAACTGTAGGCTGCTATGTGGTTGCTAAGAACCAAGCCTAAGTCCTTGCAAGGGCAAGTGCTCTTAACCGCTGAGCCGCGCTCCGGCCCCCTCCCCCCAGATTTTCTTTATATAATTACCTTGTATGAAAATGTATGTTTGTAGGCCAGGTGGTGGTAGTGCATGCCTTTAGTCCCAGCACTGGAAGGAAGAGGCAGGTGGATCTCTGTGAGTTCAAGGCCAGCCTGGGCTACACAGTGAGTTCCAGGAAAGGCGCAAAGCTACACAGAGAAACCCTGTCTCG